CGCTTTTTGCACTATTGTAAATTTTTCCTGGATTTCTGTGCTAAACTCTTATTAAGCTGTTTTTTTTGAGTTGCTTGGATGAAAGTCGTTTTTAATATAAAATTGCCTAATTTTCTTTTTTAGATTTCCTATATCACATTTTGGTCAATTGATCTGGCCATAGATGTGCAACAACTACCGGAAGATCTGTTTGATATGGTTGTTTGGAAACGATGTATATGGGCCGGTGCATTATTTGTGGCCAACATCTATGCATTCTTGCTTACATGTGTTGTGCTGCAGCTAGTCTATTATCAACATTGTATAGTTATCGAAGAACAAGTGTGTTTTTCCTCCCTTTTTCTTGTCACTTTTTAGAATTAGTTGTTTTTTTTAAAAAAACTTTGTTTTTGATTATTGTTACAAGGTTTGGCACTTTTTGCTTTAAATTTTGGTTGCTTTTAAATTCAAAGTTTTGTAATTTCATAGTTGTACCATCTATATTTTCTTGCTATTGGTATTTGCTACCCTTGGAATACTTCCGCATGCTTTCGTCTGCCATTAAGAACGAACATGAAGGGGTTTTTTTGCTCCCCGGACTTTGACATTTATTCATCAGACGAGACATGCTTCAATAACTGGCTGATTTACTAGCTTTTTCGTACTGACGAGGTGTGTGTATGTTAAAAGACCGATAAATTTCTATTCAATTGATTACTTTTTTTTAATATTTTTCTTATATTTTATATATAGAAAGATATTTTGAAATGGGAAGGAGAATGGAAGAGAAAATAATATCAAGAAATGAGTAAAATTATTTTAATAAAATTATTATAATGGTGAGAACTGTTTCGGTTCATGAGATCGTATATATTTCTTACCAATTACCACACAAATAATCGACCTCTTCAGTACGACGACAGTGATAATATCATGTGCCTTTAATACATATATCATCACCAGTGTCTTTATTAAAAGACTTCTAAATAAAAAGGCCATAGCTTGAAATTGTTAGCAGAAGGAAAAAACCCCTGAATGGATTAAACTTTTCCACTGGGGTTATTTCGAACTGGGCCTAAGAATAGGTGCCATTTAGTTGTACTGTGTTTGTAAAATATTTTAAGAAAGCCAGCATATTTTGTAGATTCTTCGAGAACAACGTCAAGCATTGAACGACCGAGAGCGATTTCGTAATTTGCGGCGCCAGAGGATGCGATTCAATCAGCGTCTCAATGCTATACCAGTAGCAGATGTGCATATTCAAAATATCGAAATTGTTTGAG